TTCTATTTTAGTTTTAAATAACTAAAGATGATTACATAAAATCATAGAAACAAATAATAATCTAATTTTTTAATCTAATTATTTCAAACATAATTTATGTATATAATTTTTTATATTATTTATAAAATAAAATAAAAAAATCTTTCAACCTCTGAAAATTAACACAAAGAGTAAAGATTTTATTTAAATACATGAAACTCAAAATCTAATATAATATCAATTACTTATTTATTGATTATAAATATGATTATTCTTTTTAAGAATATATAGAATAACTTGATGCATAAATTTTGAATACATTTTTTCATAAATACACTATTAATTATAATGTTGGGTATTTTAGAGGTCTGTTTAGAACATGATAATCGTGAAGATAGATATCATCATGCATCATAAGAAACTTTGATTGTAATGTTTTTCTTTTCACCATAAAGGTTAATCGACTGTAGTAATTATTGTAACATGATAGATAAAGTTTTTTCTACACTCCTTATTTGTTAAACGCTTGTCCCCAATTACACTAGAATAATGATGTTAGAGATTTCCGTTGAGAAATGAGACAACATTTTTTTCCAGTATTATCTAACTTTGCGATGTTCATTATGTAGATAGTGAGTTTTATTTCTTTTGCACGCGATGTATCTTAGAAGCTATTACTTGAAAATTTGACAATATTAATTACTTCTTAATTTCTTAATACTTGAAGCTGAAAACTGTGAATGAAAGACAGGAACGAAAGACATACCAAAGTATGTCTTTCTTTATTGCAAAAATTTGACAAAATTTAATTAGAATTTAAAAATTCAAATAAAATTCATTCTTGTGTGTAGTTAACAGAAATTAGTGAATTTTGGCAGATCCATGAAGAAAAACTCAAGGAAAAAAAAGTAGTAGCTTGAATTGTGAGTGAGACGCACTCCATTTAAATGAATTCTGCGAATAAACCAAAGTTTTTCCTAACAAGACGTACGTTTGGAGAAGCCATGTAAAAGATGTATCTTCATCCACAAAAAATGAGGAGGTAGTGTCATATTTCCATCACTTTTGCTCATAAGGTGCACCGAGCTAAAGGGACGAGATGTTTTCAAGCACTCTGGGATTCTGTCAAGATCTTGAGACAAGTATCACAACCTGAACTAAGTTCTGAATCTAATAGGAACAGGATTGGCATACATTTACGGGAGTTGTTGCTTTTCTTGCTGTTGACCAGAAAATGGCTAGGTGACTTTCATTCGAGATCTCCAATCATTAGTTGTTCTGATGAGTTGCACCTGATGTTGCAGTAGTAAAACAGTTTTACATGGCGAGAATTCACTGATACCATATCTACATTGACAATGTGCTGGGCATTCCATAGGTCTTTGTCGTCCAATTGTCTTTGTTTCCATCGTACAGTGTCTGCCAGGTTTTCATCCAATTAGTCTTCTTTCCAAATTTCCTTAAATGTTAGTGGTCTACATGATTGATCCTTTTCCAGACAACTAAGTAGAAGACTTTGAACACCGAAAGAATGTCTCGATGCATCTAGAACATGAAGGTTAGTGCCCGAGTGGACGCAGATAAAGTCTTCCTCCAAATAAAGAAAATTGACGACAAAGACGACACAGTGCACTCTTTGTCGCCAAAGCACGACCAAAGTTTGATTCTCTGGTTTTCCTAACTGATTCGAGAAGATGGTTGAGCTGACCCATGGTTTTACGTCTCACATGACACTTTATGTCTGAGCTTCTTTGTCTCTGCGTGAACATGATACATTTCCCGATACAAAGCAGGTTTCGAGAAGTCACAGCGCTTGCATTATATATTTACATTTCATTCGCTTTCCTCAGTTCGAGTGAAATGCGTGATGCAATACTTTTGCGCTCGCTGATGTTGCTTCTTCTTCTTCTGGTATTGTGTCCCTTACAAGATAGACAGGAATACTAATCAATGCCAGCCCTTCTCGTCCATGCTCTTCTTCGCTTTCCTTCGGGGAAAATCTCGACCGAGAGAGAGAACGATGAGTTTGAAAGCAGTGAGGTAGAATTTATTTGGTGTTATTTGGGCTACACTTTCGCCAAAAACTTAGGTTTGATGTACACTCTTCTTCTAGATTCGTTTAGGTTCATTTATATCTAAGTTAAATACATGAGAGAGCTATGAAGATGAAATTATTTCTTTTGGGTTTTGAATGATTAACTCAAATTAGATATACATTTGACTTATTACTCTCTGTCTTTCACATTTTTTTTGCAATCCTATAGTGACACATTTGGAAAACCAATGAAGATGGGATATAAAAGTTATCTTCTTCTTTTTATTAGTTGTTGCCATTACACATGTGAATGATCAGAATAATATGCTTTTGCATGTTAATAAAAAAATTAAGCATGAAAGTGAATCAAATACATTATGAATTGCACATTATCATTATTATTATTTTTGTGCTAACTATAATCTCATTTTTACTCATGATACAACTACAAACAATCAAATTAACATGTCAAACTCTTAAAAATATGCAATTATTTGACAACACGCTTCAAATGTTCTTCAACTCAATATCTAATCTATGACATTGAGAAAAAAAACATATATTCTATTTTCTATGAGAAATTTGTGGAAAATCTCATATATTTGAAGATGTACACAAGGTTTGATATTGCTCAGGTTATGGGCAAGGTGAACAGTTACATTTTCACATGTTTCTCAATAAATCTAGGAAAGATTTTTTGAAAAATAAAATGAATTATCATAAACATGAAGTGTACTTAGGAATGTGATTTTTCGTTTCATGATTAATTGGACAGTGGCAAATACTTGCTAGTCTAAGTTGATGTTGAATATGTACGAGAATTCTACAATTTGGTATCTGTTTACATTTGATGATGAATGCACTAATTGGAGATCTACTTTGCAAAAGTGCATAAATTAATTTGCAATGAAAATTGAATATGTAGCAGATGTAGAAGTAGTAAAGTAATCTATTTGATCTCATGGGATTCAAAACAAGAGATTGTCAATACTCATTGTGATAATTTGATTGTTTTACATCTCGCCTCAAATCAAGTGATAGATGAAAACATGAAACACATTGAGATTATATATCATTCTATCTATCATGCAATTTCTGATAAAAGGATTGAATTAATCAATATTGAAGGTAAATTGAATTGAAAGATTTCGTTGATCAAACTTATATTCTTTGAAAGATTATAATGCAGGTTTTGCGCAAGAAGCACAGGTAGAGTGAACTAATAATTTTTGTTACATATTCCTACTTTTTACTCTATTATATTTTGGCTAAAATTTAATTCTAGTTAGCTACAATTTTAAGAAAGACGTTTGTTAGATTTTCTTTTAGAATTTTTGGTAAAGTAATTTTATAAATTATGGAGGTTATTGTTCTCACAACATGAATTAAGTGGAAGATTGTTAATGATCAATCATATTTTATCCTATTTCTGTCTTAAACCGGATTTTTTTGGATTTTAGATATTTTATTTGTTATATATATATATATATATTGAACTATAGTACAAAGCAGGGTGAATCGTAGCTCATGCCTGAATATTGATTTAGTTTGTATCAGGAAATTGCTGGCTTCCTTGGAGAAACTCAAAAAGTCAAACCTTGCACAGTTTTGTGTGATTGTTAGTTTTTGATGTTCTCATGAATTTTCACATAACAACTAGAGAATTGTTTTTAAGATTTGATATGTTTGAGATATCCATCCGAATTTATCTATCTTTCAGGTTGCTATTCAAAACTGTTCCAACTATGTTCAATGTGCATTCATCCTTTAAAAGTTGTACATAATTCAATATTACAAAGATTTTGCAATATTTCATGAATGAAATGGTTTTGCTTCATATCTTTATCACTGACAGTACTTTATATATTCAGAGTCTAATGGGTATTTATGTTCATTTTAAACTGCCAAGTACAACTTTTCATGATGCTATTGGCAAATGATGATTACTACTTTTCATAAAAAGATAACCTTGTGATAAACAAGGATTATATGGCTATTATCTTTCTTAAAGAGCATCAAGTTAAGATGGTTTGGTCTGATGATATTAATGCTCACTAGAGAGAATTTACAAGGGATAATAGTCCATCTTTGGATAAACATACTGTAGGGCGAAAACAATCAAACTCTCCAAGAACAGGATATGGATGGTGCATAACATGATTCTCATCGTCATTGACGCTAAGCCTCTAGTTCCTTTTAGTTTTAGTTTTATTTCTTGCTATTCCTTACGAATATCACCATCCTTTTTACTAGACAATAACCACCTTTTTCAGTTAATATACGAAAATTGTGAAGCAGTGAGAACGCTTACATTGTCTTGTAGTTCAGCTAAGACTTCATGGAGTGCAGTCGACAGCAAAACTCGATAATCAAGACACACTTCAATGCGAGCAGCGTGTGTAGATCGTTCACGACCGTTATGTTGACTAAACAATAAGGAACGTTCCTTGTCCAGTTGTTAACTACCATCTTGCACGGAACTAAGCTTCATATGTGAGGCGGTCAAATCTCATATCGTAGGAGAGAAGTGTGTCGAATTAAAAGCAAAAGAAACATTCTCTGTTGTCCATGGTATTTTGACGTACAGTAGAGGATAATACAAAGGGGCAAAGAGAGGCTGTCTAAGAGAAGAAAAATAAAAGTCATGACGACTATTGGCAGTTGCACTTCCTCTACTTGGAGACCAATCTAATGGCAATGAAAAGCGCTGGGCTGTACTTTATCGATGATGGGTTGACAAAACGGGTTCCATGAGTGTCTTCTGCACAGTCGACTGGATAAGCATTCGCTGATCAGGATATGTTTAAAGCGTCTGTGGTTGTGACAGCAAGCCACAAGTGCCCCGTCAGAAACGAGGATTTTCCGAGCTGTTATTGTCAGATTACAAATCGATTCTGCATTAGAGCAGGAAACTCAGCCGCCAATCCTGCTCATCGGGGAGTTCCCCGCAGATGCGAGACTTAAAGTTCCGGAGCTGAGGTGATCAAAGCTCGGAGGCAGAGCAATCTCAAATGACTCTTCTCCTCGGAATGATACGCGCACCACAAGACCAGGAGACGATGATTTCGTCAAAGTACGTGGAATCTTCTTCCGATCAGAGAGCGAATTTGTGCAAAGACATCAAGTCGTTGCGGGATGAGATCATCCTAGAGAGCCGTGAATGATGAGAACAGAAATTTCGCAGCAAACCATCTAGAAGTCGAGAGTTCCACAGCTGGTCTACGCACGCAAGTGAATGTGACACATCCAACCTCCGCAAAGTTCGCTCGGCCCGGAATCACGAGCACCTTCGAATTACTGCCGATCAAACCGACGGATGCAGTACTGCCACGCCACATTTCGGTTTGACCTCGAGGTGATGATCGTCGCTCGGTGCCGCATCGAGTGCCTCCGGGGCAGAAGAACTCGATGGCGAGATCACGATTCCGCCTCATCACCATCGTCGAGTCTCGAGGGTTCTCCAGGCGAAGTCAAATGTCGCCCTTGAATAGTCGGTCGGGTCTCGCTGTTCAACACGAACCTCGTCATCGCCTTCTTGTCATCTTCTCCATCTCCACGTCACAACTCTCGATCCCAGCCCAGTAACAGAACAAAGCTTCGACGCGGGCAAATCGATGTCTATTAAAAGCTGCCCCCATTGCGGTTATTAGATGCCTCCTCGAGCTCCATGCACCGTGATAGCCCGCAGAGAAAGTGGATCTATGGATGCAGAGTAGATCTCTCCGATCGAGATTTGGCACGCACGCAGAGAGCTGAACGAGGTGTGAAAAATTGGGGTGCAGGGAGAGAGGACTGATCGGTGGCAGTGATGGATGTCAAGATGGTGGAGGAGAAGGCGATCGGCTGCGCACGAGGAGCTCAGACGCGGTTCGTTGTGGCGTGCTGCAGGCTGCATCCATGGGTTCGGATCCCCGTGATGGCTGCAGCAGAGGCCTTATACTGGGCTTCTCTGGGATTGGCTGTGATGATCGTCGGGGCGTTCATGGTGTTCTTCGTGCTGCTGCTGCTGGGCCCGTATCTGGCTTTCTCTCTGTTGCTGTACAGGTTCACTCCGCTGTCAAAGTCATCGGAGCAGCACCAGAGCACGGGGATTTTGGTGCTGGTGGCTAGCGTGTTGGTATTCTCGGGGGGCTACCGACTTTTGAGAAAGTATCCGCAGCTGAGGAACATGGACAATCTGACGAAGTTGGAGTTGATTCCCGTGGTTTTGCAGATCAGTGTTTATTACGCGTTCTTAGCCTTTTGCTCTTTCCTCTCTGCTGTGTTGACGTTTGACTTCCTGGTGGCTGTGTACTGGGCTTGCTTTGGGGTCGTGTACGTGATCGTTCTGTTCTTCCAGATGCTGGGCCTCATTCCCTGGTACGTTCTCGTGCCCTTCACCGTGTTCACGCCCCTCTTCGTCGTCAGCTTGCTGACGAGGGTGCCTTTCTGGCAAGCGGAGCCCTCGTCCTCTGCTGCTGCGGTCGCCGATCATGACAAATTCCAGCACAGCTTACGGCTTAGAAGCACTCTTCCCGTTTGACAGTCGGGGCTCATTCAGTGCATACTCAAAGTATCTAAGATCGAACATATTTCTGTCACCATCTGGGAGCTGAGAATTCCTCCACTGGCCCCGTACTTGCAACCATGCCCTGAATTCCTTGGGCGCGAATCGAGAGCTGGCTGGCCATCTTGCGGCGATGGGCCCTGCATTGCGCAAACGAGCAGTCCAGCGAGCAAGACACTCCAGCTACGGACCACCGAAAAGATTGCCAAGCCGCGGGAGTGACGGGCTCTGGCTCCTTCGACCTCGGGGCTCTATCAAGCTTACCGATCAAATGCTGCCGATCGATAATTTCCCAAAAGACGCGAAGCGCTGACGCATAAGTACAGCATACGAACCGAAATCTGACCTAGAGTCCGTAACCTTTGCAAAAGACTTCAACGATGATAATCTCTTAAGAGGTCAATCAGATAGAATATCAGATTTAGCTATCTCCCTCGTGCTTTCGAGGCGGAAGAGGTTAATGTCGATAATAATCCACTACGAGAAGTGAACCGAAAATGTTGTAACACTTCGATCCACAACGAGAGGTTGTTTCTTGTAATATATGACATCACCGAAGAAGAAACCTCGGTCACAGCTATCCTTCCTCGCAGTAACCGAGGAGCAGGGAATGGATATCAGATTAGCTTGAAATGGTCTCCCTAGCTTTACGGGACATTGGTACGGGACAGCTGTTGCACTCGTGTCTCGAGTTGAAGCTTCAATCGTAGCCCTCACGGTAACGTGTTATCCAGGTAGGCAGGAATGGATTGGACAGCTGAGGATGTAGAGAAGAAAAGCTGATCCGAAGCTCGGAGGAGGTCAGGAGGAGGTCAGGGGCTCGCTATTCAACTTGCCATGCAATTAGTTTTGTGTCGCATGCTAGACACTGTAATGGCCTGTTTGGTCGCATGCGGATGGGATGGGATTGGGTCGATCAAAGGCGGCTTCCGAGGATGGCGGAAGCGGTAAGAATATTGGACCCAGAAAACTGTAGGCGGCTGACCTCCAGACCCAAATGATGTGGGAGCGAGGGATGCGGGATGCAATCAGTCTCCGGCGATCGTACAGACTGTTTCGAAAGCATCACAAAAACCAATAAAGTTTCGTGCGAGGATAGCCTGGTCTGATTTCATAATTAGAGTGTCGCTTCCCTCGAGCGTCTCGACACATCTAGCTCTTAGGGTGTTCATTAAAGCTCTACGTTTTCTGGTCTCCACAACCAAAGTTTGTACAGAATCGGGAATTTGACTCTCTGGTTCCGGTCATCTTCTGGAATCGTGATCGTTTGAGACATGACCTTTGACTCCCGTACCGGTGTCTCTTCGCGTCTTTAGCAGCGCACTCGATTTAGCAGAGGCCATTTGGGAAATCCCTTCGGTGGGTGGTGAAGAGCCAAGGCGAGGCCCATGATGAATCTAAACCCATCCTGCAAGCCTCTCAGATGGCCAGCACACAACTCTTGCACGGTCTTGACACGAAGAAATTGGAACAAGTGGGTGCATAGAGCTTGTGCGATAATTGGAAATTTTATTGACATGGCCACTCTGCAACTCCAAACCGAGGAGAACTGCAAGGAGGATGGAGGTAGCGGGAAAAGATACAGGGATCAACGAAATGAAGATTGAAGAGTGAATTGTGGAGATCAGCCTGGTCCTAATAAAGCGGAATCCACTTGGGCGAGCAATGCTGGAGATGGGAACCTGGTGGAATCGGATGACGTCCAGGATGCTCTGGCTTTGGGTGTTGGTGAGCTTGCACTGCATCTGCAGTGTACATTGCGGAGACGATGACTACAGAGTGGTCGTGACGACGGATATCGAAGATGGATTGTTCGTGCGTTGCTTGTCGGAAGACAAAACCATAGAAAAACTGCCCAGGAAGGTCATGCCCGGGGACTTGACGTACAGCTTCGCGCTCGACCAAACCAGCCCCATCTTCTCCAGCTACTTTTTCTGCACGGTTTCCAATCATGAGGGCAATACGATGACTTTCACGGCCTTCGATAAAAAGTACACCGAGAAGTCGTGGAAATTCCCTTTGGTCGACGACATGCGCGAGGTTAGGTGGTCGATCAACCATGTGGGCGCTTGGGTCTATGTCAAGGGCAGGCCTCGAGCTGATTCCATCATGAAGTGGCAGGTGGATGAGTTTTGGCCGCCGTGGCCCCCTGTCCTTCCCCCGAACTCCAACCAGTCAGGGCCCTCAAACTGGGACGAGTTGGAAGCGCAGATCCAGATAGTGCAACTCAAACCTCGAATCCTCCCTCCGATTTACATACCTGAGTTCATCATGAAGCCTTTTGACGACCCATTGCATGTTCTGCCTTGGTATCTGGACAGACCCTGGACGTAGCCTCCAGACAAACTCATTCATTGACATGAGGCCAAGTACTTGGCAAGCTGATGCCGGAGGGAGGGAGGGAGGGAGGGAGGCTGTCGAGCTAAGTTTTGTAGGTGATTGAATATGCTTGCGCAATTGTACATTTCTGTTCCATAACGGGTACTTTACTGACTAACTTCGCATCCACAGGAGGCCTGGTCTGACATTCTTAGTAGGAGCATAAGCCATTTTAAACATCTCAATAGTAAAATCTCAAATGCCGTGAAATGTAATTAGATATCGATTTCTGTGAGGAGGATCAAAGATGAAAATAGCAAAGCCACTCAAATTTCGAGCATTGATTTGCAGTGGAGGAGATGCGTAGACAAACATCCACTAATAAAAGAACAAAAGAAATATATGAAACTGAATTGCCAAAAAACATAAAGTTTTGCATTCCACAGTTCTTGTCTTGCTGCAACTGCATCGTAAGGAGGACGTAGCCGAAGTCATTCTTGTTATGGGATGATCTTCGATGTGTATGTAGACGTTCTTCGCCGCCAGATCTCTCACGTTAAGACTCTAAAGCTCCAAATTCAAGCCAACAGATGCAATGATGGTTGTCGACAGAGGTTAATTCTAGAAAGCTTACGAGCAGAACCTGAATAATCGTCATTCGCCTTAGCCTGCTGCTCAAAGGACGGCGGTTCTATGCACTTCAAATCACAATCTCCGAACTCTGAAAGCTACAATCATAGTTGTCTTTCCAGATTATATAACAATCAGGATACAGAGTAGGCTTTGGACACTGTCCTCTGCGCGGAGTACCTGTTCTACCCTATCCTTGACTACCTACCGTACACACACATGATGTCGACGTGTAGCCGCTGGGGGTGACTGTCTGCATTACCGGCACCAGTTCACTAAATCAGCAATCACATTCCAGCACAACCCCGCCAAGACTAAGATATTTTTGACAATTGAGCTCGTACTGGGCAGCCAACATTCGATATCATGCACATGGTAAGGGCGAAAAAAGTTTAAGAAGAGGAAGAAACTCTGTACAAAACAACGTCTCATTGACAAATCTGGTGGAGGTCTGTGACTTCAAGCTGCAAATGTCATTCAACGCCTCAATGATTCCTCGGAAATGAGACTAGTGCCTGTTCTTCATTGAATCTGTATGAGTTCAGAGTGATTGGCGTCTTTGTACCTTGGCATTTTGACTGATTTTTTTGGGGGCTTCATTGTCTTTGCCGGTGCTCTACTATCGAATAAAAAGGCTGTTGTGCGTTTTCCGGAAAGTGAGCAATAGCTTCGACCTGTGATTTCCATCGTAAGAAGGAATATTTCCAAGTGAAGCCTGTTAGCTCTAAATATTCGAGAAGTAAAACTTTCATCAATATGCGCCGTTCAACAATCCAGCCTCGGAAACCGTGTCTCACAATTGCACGTCTACAATCGCTACTTGCTCTTCATGACATGTGCATAAGTTTAAGTTTTTGTTTTTGTTGTGTGCAATGTCGAGTTCCCACATATAGCTGAAAGAGACACAAGAATCTCAATACATCACGAGACTCAGAAGGAAATTTTAGATAAAGAATGTCATTGACGTGAAGAAATAAAACTTTCCAGGAGCGAATACAATATTGATCGACAGTACGACAGTATTCTCTGAAAAGCAACTGAGAGACCATAGCTCATCACTCCTTCATGTCAAGCCCTGGTGACCAAGCGTCTATTTCAACCGGAAAAACTTTGAGAGGTCGGGGTCTTTCTAGAGCGACCGTCCAGTCAAGCGTGGAATTTGTTGCCGGAATGCTACCGCTCGCCATCCTCATTAAAGAGATAGTCCAGTACAGTACAGTTTTGATAACTGACTAGGACTGTCATGTCGAAACCATCAGGAGTTTTATGTCTTTGCAGTTTACAACGAGTTCTTTCCGCACAGTACTCTTAAACAGAGAAATATACAGAGGGAAAGCCTTAAGTGGGTGCCGACCTTCGGCACGAGTCAAACTGAACAGACTTAAAGCACATTGGGAAACTATTAACAAATATTGTCAGGATGGGAATGACAGAGGGGAGTCCATAGTGAATTCTACAACATGCAGAAAAGAACATTACATTCCACCGTCCAGGCTCGTGCAGTCATGGAGGGTCAATTTCCATGACATTTAAAATTTATATGCGAAGAAGCTACTCCTAAATGAATAACATTGACTAGTCGTACCGACAGCACTGAAAGAACACATGCTGTTGGAATAGGAGAAAGAAGTCAGTATGCACGTAGCCACCATGGATTAGGTCTGGAGCCGAGCCGGGGTCCGCAACAACAACAACAGAGGCGATAACCAAAGTTGGAGCAAACGCGAGAGCCCACCTGGCGTTGAGGAGGGGGCGGAGGACTTTACTCTTGATAATCCTAACTAGAATCGTCAGATCTTTCCGGGAAAGAATGATTGTCGTATGTAGAAGTGCATGCTTCTGGAGAGCATGCGAACCCGAATACAATAATACGCTGTCAAGGCTGGCACTACTGAGAATCGAATCCGAGGATGACAGCGCGAAACAACGATGAGACCCCAGAGGTGTGGAACTTATTATAAAGAGCGCATCGAGATCCAGACAGCAAGGATGTGGTGTGCCACCGACCACGTAACTCTGTTGCACCATGATGCGCATCAGCCACCATCACTTTCGACCTTTCTGGCCGTGGTGTTCCTTCAGGCCCTTGCCAGGGACCCGGCTCCACCGGCTGAATGAACGCCGCCTTCCCGAAGGCATCGTATTCTATTTTCTCAAATAGTCGCTCGCTGCTCGAGTCTCAAACCAAACGATTCATAATCATTTCTCATGATGGCAGCATGCAATATTCTGGTGCCGGTCAAACTGGAGAGAGCTGACTGAAGTGTCGACTTTGGGGCTCTTCTGCAAAGACTTTTCATGGACCATGAGACCTCACTGGGGCAAACCTAGAGGAAAGTCTTGTTCTGAGTGAGTTCTGCCCGCAGATTTGGATTACCGCAAGGACTTTGATTGATTGTATGATTGAGAGAATATTGAGTTTTTGAATGCGACAAGTAATGGGCTGTCGGAAGTTGAGAACTGACGATGATGGTCAGAGCATGTGAGTGAGACTATTTGCACAAGGATGTTCTTTGTTTACATTATTTGAAAGTTTACATCCCTCTCGACACGAAGAACGTTTTACGAATCTCGCGCGTGAGGGCTCGAAATCACTCGAGACTCTCTCTCCTACAAGTCTCGAAATTGATATATTCAAGTCATGGACATGGTCTTAGAAAGAAGCTGTCATTTCACGGGAAATCTATTCAGCACAAGCGTCATCATGCTTGTCCCAGTGATGGTGCGAAGGAAGAATGAGGACTGAAATTATGTTGCAATTTCGGACCGTCTAGTTGTTTCATCATCTCGACTCCTATCTACTGCCTGAATTAAATACACTAGCGAGTTGAGAAACATGCCCCAAAAGATCTAGATTAAGCCTCTTCTCAGCCTGATCAAGATTTCAGTGGAGATGAGAAACCCTCATTCGTTTCCAATTGCTGCTGTTGCGGTGGGGGGACGGGTAGAGGATCTATAGCAACGTGGTACGCAGCAGCTTCGATTGATCGTCGCGTGCGATCGTTCCTGCGGGTGCCCAAGCACTGCGTACATGTATGTGCATACTGCAAGTCACAGACTGCGGTAGTAAGCCTTGGCTGTAGTCATCATCGTTATCGGCAATTTCATCTTCGCCATCGTTATCATCGTCTTCTTCATTTCATCTTCATCTTCATCTTCGTCTTCATCTTCGTCTTCGTCTAGAGGATACCATCATGAGCTTGAAGGTCCGGCGAGTGCGTCACATAAGCAGGTTCAGAGAGGGAGCAAGTGCCGAGCTGGAGCTGCATCACAGGGCAGCACGGAGGGTCTGCAGGGGCGAAGGGAGTGTCTGGGAAGATCGTTGTGTTGGAAGAGCTCTCTCTTATGATCATGTACTCGAAAGAATCGAATCCATAGGATCGGAGGTACGCTAGAGTTGCGGGTTTCTAGAAATCCTGCCGTCGATAAGAGGCCACAGAGAGCTAGCGGTAGAAGAACCGGATTGTGTAATAGTTGCAGAAATTGCTGATCTACCAGGGTACAACGATTGAGGATCAGAGCGGGTGGGCGGCATATTGAAAGTCCAGGGCCCAGAATTTCAGACATCCCTCTCTTAGAACGTGAAAATTTAAAAGCTTATCATACAGACTCAGACGTTTACAAGGCTCTAGCAGCACCGTGTTGAATCAAAACCCCCACCTGCACCCAAGACTTACAACCGCAAGGACTTGGCTCAGTGGTAGCCATGTCAACGGACCTTGTGCAAAACTTACAGGCGATCCTCTTACGGCTCCACCTTACGATATTCAAGTATCTGATCCAATTTTCTCATCAGCACGGCCCCATATCCATCGATCAATCATTATCAGCCTCCGCCTCCAAATCCACCTCCTCGTCCTCGTCCTCGTCCTCATTCCCGTCACTCGAAAAGCATCGTGGCCTGAAAGTCGTTGGGGCTGATGTGCATTCGAGGAGTGATGGGTTTCGTGAATTCTCTCAGGTTGGTGCAGTTCCTGCTCACATCGTCCAGCGCCTTGGGAGACAAGACGTAGCAGCAGGCCACGTTCAGGCTTTGCAGGTTCCGGCAGCCGATGGCCAAATGCCTCAAGCCTCGGTCGGAAATGCACGTCTTCTTCATCTCCAGATGCTTCAGTCTCGGGTAGTGCCTGGACATGGTGATGGCCTCCTCGTCGCCCCCCGGCGGCGAGCTGGCCATTTCGAAGGCGTGATTCGTCGCATTCTGGTTCACCATGTTCCGGCCCAGCCACTCCAGAGACGGGCAGTTGTCACCGAACGCCATCAGTGCCTGCTTCGAGATATTGTAGCAGTCGCTCACATCCAGATGCCTCAGCTTCGGAGACATCGTGGCCAGCTTCAGCGCCGACTTGTTCGTCACGCCCAAGCTCGATTGCATCGTCAGCACCTCCAAGAGCGGACATCTGCTTACCACATATCCATCACACCACGTTAGCGCACGAATTGGACTCAATCTCAACGAGCTCATCTCGTTCTTTCATCTAGAGAATGCAACCGGTCAATCTGCTACACGGAATTATGAGGAAGAGAATGCGAGTCGGATAAATTGACGATTTAATCACTGAAGGGGTTGCGTTGGGGTGGAACGAACCTATCGGCCATGTATTCGATCGCGTCGTCCGAGACGTACATTGTGCGAAGCTCGCGGAGTTGACCTCTGCTGCGATCGACGAGAATCTTGACGAGGCGATCCACGACGGGCTCGCAGTCGTATTCCCACATGCACTCGGCGTCCATCTTCTGTTGAATCCATGGCACCATGTCGATGACCCTCCAGCTGGTGGGGTCGCAAGCTACCTTCTTCCAGTTCTTGCACACCATGGGCACCACCTGCAACCTCTCCGGGAGAGGGAGTCGCTGAAAGATTTCAGCAAGAGCCTCGTCTAATAACATAGACCAGTCGGGATCCGGCACACTCGTGCTAACCACTTGTGCCTGCGCGGCCCGTCGACCGCATCTTCTCCAGTTCATCGTCGATGCTCAAATCCTTCCGTTTCCTTTCGCCTCGATGATTTCCACACGCACGCACTACTACACCGACGACGCCCCGGCTACTTTTTATTGACACTCGATTGGTGCGTGTGCAATTTATGTCTGTACTGAATCCTCCTAATACTTCCCAGCCCTTCCTGTAAAGCACCCAGATCCTTCCAGCTTCCGGATTGATGTCAATCCCCAGGAAACGCCTGACGTGACCAGGAAGAAACGAATCAAACCGATTTCCTCCGATTCCCCGCTAGCTCCACAACCAATTCAACGATTCTGCGAGCAACAATTGCGCTCTCGATCAGTCACATTGCGCATCCGAATACAGCCTTCAACATGATTGCACATCAACATCCTTCTCAACAGACATGGACCACTATTCAAGCAAAGACTTCTACAACCTATGACGTCCCTCCGTCCCTCTTGTTCCAGTCCTGGGCTTTCTCCGTGTGCAACGAAGTGAATTACAAGTTTCCTCGGTGTCCAACGTAGTGGCAGGAGATCATCTCCTCCTTCTGAGCTAATAAGCCTCGAGAAGCCCAGCAGCAATCTAACGAGGTATGCAGGTAGGTACAGGCCAGGGAAGATACTGGAGCAGCGGATCGTCTATGAAATTCTAGTTTCGAATATCGTTATATGAAGCAGCGAAGGAGAGAAATTCTAAGAAGAGTGATGTCGAAGTTACATGGCTTTCTCTTCCCTCGCCTTAAAACGAAGAAGCGAGGGGAAGGAACGGGATGTTAGGAAGTTTCCTTCACACGGTGTGGGGCAGTAACGAGAAGACCAGGACTTTGATTGGATGGGATTTCTTCAGTCGTCGTTGGCCACGAATTTCAATAAGGGAGTCCCGTTAAGCGGCGGGCAAACTATCAATTTCTTTCAAATCACACCACACTGACATCTGCCATTCTCAGAGGGTGGTCGAGAGTAGCTACCTCGGTCTCCAGTCCGTCGATTCGCAGAATTAAGCCTGCGAGTCTCACTCTCGTATCAATTCTCTCTCACAATAGTTTGATAGAACGCTCTAAAACACAATCGGAATGCCACAACGAAACCGAGGAAATCAAGTCAACCAACCAAACCTCACAACACAACACAAAGATTCCAGAAGAAACTGACAGAAGACAAGTAAGCAAATTGCAGAAGACGTGAAGGAGAGTTTCTTCTGCAGAACTACGAGAAATTGACAGAGGGAAGAGTGAGAGTGGGACGGACTGGGTCAGAGAAAGGGGAAGGGAGAGGAAGACACGGATTATTACTACACTAGATAGATAGAGTACGACGCTCGGGGAAACGAAGGCGAGTTATGGACAAGGCGGTCGAGAGAGACCCAGCCCACCGAGTGCCGGGTCGTCAAATAGTACCCCCGGCAAACTGCACTTCTAAAGGCCGGATTACGAATCTCACCTGCCTATTAACTCCGCCCTGTTTAATTGGGGAATCGTGCTTAGCACTAATCGATCGGGCCCGGGTCTGGGACTGGGACTCCGAACCCGCCGGGCCCACTCTGCCCCGCACGCGTCTTCAGACAAAGAAGTTACCAGTTGCTGCATACACGTATGAGATAACGCAGACTGCTCGATCCCTGTTACGAATGACAGTGTTGCGGAGCCCAAAGAATCACGTTCGATTTTTTGCAGTATCCTGAGTCCTGATCAACTGACTCTCGCCCGGCTGATCGGGTCTAGTCTGGGATCGCCCCCAAACTCATGGGAAATCTGACGGCAGATCAGATCCGACTTTGACCGGATCGAAAGAGAGTTCGGCCTGAGTTAGAGCTTGTTGACTTTATGGCGTCCTTCGTCCGCCAGATTATCTAATTGGCTAGAAGCAATATTTGGCGAGTTTTATTTTCAACATGTGGGAGAGTCTGGATTGCGCTCGGCGACGCATTCAAATTTGGGGTCTGCTAGGGTAATGAGGTTCACAGTCGCCTCGGATCTAGCTCAACATTGCAAATCTCGAGTGTGAGGGGGCGGTTGTACATGCGGACTGAGCTCCAATGCGGCCCCTAAACAGTTGCTGAAGAATATGTCTTCAGTGCTACCTCGTCAAGTCGGAGCGTGTTTTCTAGCCAGATATAGGTCGGCTGGGAGAGTAGCTTGCGAAGCAGCCCGCGAGCGCTGCTTTTTGGCCTTCCGTGGCTTCAGATCCTGTACCTCGTCATGTCATCTGAAGAGGGGCTTGAGTAGTAGCATTCCCTGTGCCTGCCACATCTGATGGTGTGGCCATGGGAACACCTCAAGACCAGCAGAAGGTTACCAGGCAGGGTCCCGATTAAAACCTCCTCGTCGTCACCTTAAGCCCACCACAGAAAGGTACATTAGCCCAAGCTGCACCTGTAGAGTAGGATTTTAGCTTTACCCTTACATCGGTTGACTCCTTGTTCAATTTGCTTGTAGCAGGGCCCATCCACCGTCTCAAACCTACAGATATTCCGGCCCTTCAATAATTATTCATCAATTATTTATGATCGACGCCCTCTTTAGTCTTCTGCTGTACCTTTGTTGTATGATACACTGGCCTAAAGTCAGCGAGGATGGCACTCAGACTCACGACAAGTCACTCACCATGAGTAACCCAACTTACGATTGAAAAATTCTTCCAGGTATGACATGCTGCCCAATGGTTTGACGACACTTTGCATATGACTTATGAGGTGATTGGTCCGGAGTTACAGGTGAAAGTAACAAAGTCTTAACTCCCACAACTAAGGTCTATCCTGGTTGGGTTGTTGCTCTGGGCTTATCGGATAGTGCCAGTAGGCCCGACTGGATTTACCTTTCCTAAGATGCTCACGAATGGTGGGACGTAGGGAATGTTTGATGCCCAAATCCTTGAACTACCATTGTTCTTGTAGATTCGCTCTAGCATATTGCGTTCAGTGTCAACTTACGCTACTTCATACTCGTGTGTGTGTGTGGGTCGGTGGGTAAGGGGAGGAGGGATTTTCTGTATGGAGAAATCACTCCTAGGAGTTTAGAACCTTAGGTTCAAAGGGTCGGTCGAATTAGGGAGCAGAGCGGTACTGAATTGCGAGCAGAGGCAGCACAGTTGTTCTAGTTGCCTTTAATGATCCCTGCCGTTATTCCCCAAATCTGAGAAACTTTCTCACTTTATACTTTGTGCAATGCAATTCATACGGATTCCTCGAAGGCACGGCGGTGAAGATAATTCTGAGACTGGCGTCCAAGGACTCCAAGCCAATCACAGGCTCGAGTCCTTACAGATTCCGCACGAGGGCAGAAGCAAAGAACACGCTCTGTGTCTGGTTAGCAACGCGAGAGGAAGAGGAAGAGGAAGAGGGAGAGGTTGAGGAGAAGCAGAAGCGGAAAGAAGACTTGGGGAAGACCGGTCATACATTGACTTCGGGAGTTCCAATTCCGTTGAGACGAAGACTCGGGACGTCAGACGCGAAGAACCCCAAGGCAGCACCACCTCGGAGCTGAAGTTTCTGACCGAGTTCATCATTGGAGGTCCTACGGCCGGAGAGTCACAGCGGTGGCCATCCTGCAGCGTCAGAGTTCTGGTTACAGGACATGATTGGCGTGCTTTCTCGACCCTATAGATTACAGAGCCTGAGGGGAAGAATGAGTCTCCCACTCCTTTGGTTCCGTCCTTTGGTCCGATTTTGTGAACAAGATATGACTAGCCTTTCTCAAGGTGTGAATATTTTAGCTTACGGACATGATCACGAGAGCGTGCTTGACACTTCTCCCCTTGCTAGATTTGCTTTCTCACGGATCTCTCGAGACTAACAAATTTTATTGGGCTTATATTTTATCGGGTCAGCTCCGGGTCTGATGTACACTACATCCTGAAGACATTTGTGATAATTTCACTCCCTTCATTTTTTCCGAACGCTGAGGACAGATTCATTCCCTGCGTATGGCGTTAGACTTTTACGCCCTAGCAGCTAAATCTGCCAAAACTTGTGGGATCGGAGTACTCTCGGTGAAGTTGACCGTCAATTTGTCAATATTATGGACGTACCCGCTCAGCTGAACTTGAAATCACCCACTAACTCTCCAGGAGATCGTTCGCCCTCCTGTCCATTGTCCGATCGTCGATTCCAATACAGCTTCAGTATGATACAGGAACTATCTTCTTCTCAGCCATCTCATTCCAGACTGAGAGCTTCATTCCCAACTCACAAGCAATTGAGTTTTTAACTAAAAGTGGGGTGCATGACGAGCGCGGTATTCTCTCCAGAACTTATCCGATGCAAGAGAAGCAGGTAGAAAAGATACGGTCCATCATGGACACGGCGACGATTTATCGTCACACCCGCTTGCACTCCGGCAGGACTCAGCTAACCCATGCTCTTTAGTATTAGGGAAATGATCTCGACACAGGCTGGAGTCGGGGACTGGCAGTCGAACTATCATGTGAATTGCAAAATGGCGGTCCACATGTCAGTGTATGTAGCTGGGTCGGGAGAGGCCAGGCAATGGGTGAGTGGTGAGAGTTTCTAAATCCAGCAGGGAGTTTTCCTGACTCCGAGGGATCCAGATGTCCCGAGCATGATTCACAATTATAGGTTTCTCTCAGGATTCTCCCCGCCTTGAATAGATTTTCCAAATTTTAAATGCCGAAGATTGTTCAATTATGAATTCATCAGTTGAGAAACGTGGTTCGGCGTTCGAAATGCCTCAAGATTTCTACTGCCGGAAGGTAGAAGTTTATTCGGAAAAGTTTTTGAAAATAATGAAACTGATCTCATTCCAGATCTCAATTTCCAGAATCAATGGAACAGACTCGTGTTGTGGAAAGTCATCTATTTGCAGCTCCAGTGCTCCACCTCCTCGATGGGCAGCCGAGGAATTTAAGAAGGATAATTGAAGCAATTGGGTCCGAAGAGAGTCACAGGCGCACGCTTCAAGTTTGACTGCAAAATTTGACTAACTGAACCCCCTGGTTTCACTCTCTCCTACCGGTATCAACAGAGCATATCCTGCTGCTCTGGTCTCTCGATCCACATTGACAGTGTACGGGCCCAAAGTACAGTTCATATAAAAAATTCTCTGTGCCCCCGTTGAAAAATCTATCGCTCTATCCATTATGTAGCCTGGTGAGACCCACCCCATCTCGAAGACCCCACCAGGAGATGGAGAGAAGTTTTCCTGGTTGGCTTCCTGCCCCTTCTAGAACTCGAAAAGATTCCATTGCACCAGAGATGCAATCGAACGGGGAGAGAGTAGTTGATTTGGCCATGAAAGGGCCAGTAAACTGGCTGGCAGGGCAGTAGATCGCTAGACGGACTGCCTCCATCACCGATTTAGCTCTAGAGCCAAACACCATCACGTTGTAAATATCTGAGAACCGGAGCCCCAGCCATGGATTTCTCTTAACCAGGTAGAAATTCAGGTGTCAGCGCATTCTCCGGCTCCCTTAGCCCCACCTTCCCAAACATACGTCAAGGTTCAAGCCAAGGGCTGCCCTGAAAGAATTCCGACAGAAACCATGGAATATGAGGTAATCAGGCTAAGCACTGCTTCTGGAGAAGACTCTTTGCTTCGTGCGAAGCTGACAGTGAATATAAAATCTGCAAAAAAATGCGAACTCAGCCTGTTTCGTTTGTAAGGTCCGAGCTTAGCCCGAGCTTGTGGCTCGGAGTGGATCCCAAGTCTGTCCTACGCCAGGTGAGCCCGCGAACAGTCCTTACCGTGGGGCACATCTGCATGCTGCTGGCTTCGAATGCGGTGGCGATATCTGCTCTACAGTCTGTGAAAAGTTCAACAGCTAACTGACAGTTATCTACTCAGACCGGAGTCGGCTCCAGCCTCTCTCCCATCGTGGTAAGATTGAGCTCATGGACTCCAGTGGAGGGGCTCCCCTGCCTCGTCTTTTCGAGCACCTTTCTGCATTTCTCCCGTGGCCTGGGTATTATAATGTTGCCGCCCGGGTCCGGCCTTCGATTTCACGGGCCCGTCTGCAGAGCAGACTTTTGGACTCGCAGCTTCAGCAGAAGATGGCCGGGAGTCTGACTGTCGGCCGCCCTCGCCTCTCACACCCTCACGAGTACAACGTTGGGGCGAACCGGGAGAGCCCTGCTGCCGTAGGAGGACAACGTCGCCAGGCTATGGCCACGGTGCCACACTGGCTAGATCTGATTCGCAGCCCCGCCACGTTGCCGCCCTGTGTGCTGTGGATATTTTGACCGGTCGCACTTAATTTCACCATTTGCGTGTCCGAATCTTACAGAAACTTAATTTGGCCCGCCCTTCTCCCCCGCTCATGCCATTTACCATTATTTGGGGCAAAATATCGTTCCATTTCCTCTGCAGTCCCAGCCGGTCCTTGGCCACGTTCATGTTCAGCAAGGAGACCAACTTTCTCCTGCTGTAGGATTGGAGCAGGCTGTTCCGTGAGCCCCAAG